GGGATGTAATGATTGGAACAAGGTTGACTTCATTGACTACGGGGTCGTTAGTTGGTTGTTAACCTGGGCCCATTGGGAAATCTCCTCCATTCAGGTGACTGACTGCGAGCTGGCTGGCCACAGCCAGTGTACTGTGCACATGTAAATAAAAGGTGACTTGGTGATGGGATACCTGCCTCTGTGCAGTTGTTTCAGCTGTATTGCCAGAATTTATGCCTTTAAGTTGATGCATAGTTTCATCTGTTAAATGATCCTGGTGACAGAATCATAGAATCCCTACAGTGTGGAAAGAGGACTTTCGGCCTATCAAGTCTGCACCCACTTCTAAAGAGCATCTTGCCCAAACCGAGACCCTCCCTCTCTATCCTGTGACCCCGCATTTACCATGGCTAACCCATTTAACCTGCCCATCCCTGCACACTATATGGGCAACTTGGTGTGGCCAAGCCACCTAACTTGCACATCTTTGGACTGTGGGAGGAAACCAGATCACCTGGCAGAAACCCACGTAGACACTGGGAGAATGTGCAAACTCCACACAGTCACCCAAGGCTAGAATCGAACTCCGGTTTCTTGCTGCTGTGAGGCAACAAAGCTAACCACTGAGCCACCATGCTCTTTATTTATGTGGAATTATTTACTGTCAGTGATGAGTAGTTTTTAATCTTAATTAGTGTATGAAAAGCATCTTATCTGAATTATCTCTCAGGGTGGCCACTGCTATACAATAATATTACCGGTGAATAATTTCAGTTCACAAAAATGGCAATCTCTCTCACTCATGAATGGTATCTTCAATGTGTTTTATTTCATTAGTGCATTCCAGATTATGTGACCCAATTTCAATTAGTCTAGTTAGTTGATTTAAGATGAAACCAATTTGATTTTGATTCTCCAATGGGATGTAGCAAATGACGAGTAATCTTCAAGGTGCAGGGCTCAGATGAGTGGTTTTAGCTTAAACAGTTGTTGTTCAGCAAAATTTGAAACAGTATTTCTGTGTGAAGTGAATGAATGGAGGATTTTGTATTCAATGTGCTTGTTGCTCTTATATTTGTGATTTACCTGGTTTGATTTAGTTAAGTAATTCGCTTAAAGATTTGCATAAAGAAGCCATTTTAAACATTAAGCATACCGATAGTTACATAATATTGCAAGAATTCAGTCAGAAAACCTATGGCTTGTTGTGTGTTTTTGAGGTGAATGTCTCAGACTTTACTACGTTTAGTTCCTATGTGCTGCAGTGCCTAATTCAGTGCAGTTTATTACTGACCAGTCTCTCATTGCCAATATATGTGCTGGTGGATGGAGTATGTAGTTGCACAAAGTGCTGCTAGAATTTCAATTTCTGCTGACATGTATCAATACATTACAAATAACATTTGTTAAACTCTTACAAACACTTCATTTAGGTCTGCTGACCGGAAATGATTCCGAGTTCAACGTGAAAGGGAGTGGTCAGGGTCTATGATAAATAGAGCAGGCTGAATAAAAGCTATTTCAACATAAGCCATTTTTTGACCAAGAGGTTTTTGTTACGTTTTAAAGTACTAGCTGCCAGAAACTGACTGATTTGTATTGTCAAATAAGTGGGAAGGAATTTGGCATTTGAGAACTGTGGTGGTACACGTTAACCCACAAGAGCAGGGAGCCCTTGCACAATCTTCACCCAAGCATGAAGTGGAAACAAAATTGCAGGTCTCCAGGGAAAAGGCAGTCACATGACTGTTTAGCTCTTACAAAGAGCCGGCATGGACACAATGGGCCAGATGGCCTCCTTTCATGCTATAAGCATTCTATAATTTATAATGGTTCACAGCAGTTCAATCAAATGTGTGAACCTCTGTCTGCCATTGAGAAGATGTCTTCACCTATGAGCAGATTTGGAGGCACTTGAAATCTGGCAGGTATGAACTAGCAACTGAACTTCATTGCCCAAATAATGATGGTGTGCGCAAGTATTACATGAATGTAAAAGCTTTCCTCGTTGTTTCTACCAAACTGACATTCAGAAATGAGAGATGGGAGAAAAAAATTCTGCAGATAATCTTTTGAGTTTTACTTGCTGATTGGGTATGTTCTTTGCGTAGCAATTCTGAGCAGCAGAATTTTCTTGACTTGAGTAACTTGCTTTTCTAAAATATTGGTGATGTCCAGAAGGTGGCCCCAAGTGCTTCACTTTAAGAAGTCAGAGGCAGATGGCAAGCAGCGGGTGGGAAATATAAATGTCTGGTACAGGAGATTGATTGTTTTCAGTTGCTGTGTGAATAGCTCTTCACATAGTTTATTATTTTACCATTGCAGTTACAAATTTGTGACAGTGAATTTGTATGTACATTATAGTGAGAGATTCTAGTGCAGAGAATTGGAACATTACTGGGAGATTTGGATGCTAATAAAGTGCTGATTAAAGTCCATTCATTTTTTATTTACGACCAATATCTCTGAGCCTCAACTGCATTAGTAACATGTTTTTTCACTTGTGGGACGTGGGCGTCGCTGGCTGGCCCAGCATTTATTGCTCATTGCCAGTTATTCCTGAGATTGGTGCTGAGCTGCCTTCTTAAATCGCTGCTGTCCATGTGCTGTGGGTTGAACCACAATGCCTTTAGGGAGAGATTTCCAGGATTTTGAACCAGTAACAGCAATATATTTCCAAGTCAGTATGGTGAGTGACTTGAAGAGGAACTTGCAGGTGGTGTTTCCATGTACCTGCTGCCCTTGTCCTTTTTGATGGAAGTAGGTTTGCAAGGTGCTCTCTGAGGATCTTTGGTGCAATGTTTCTTGTAGATTAGTACATGCTGCTGCTATTGAATGGTTGTGGTAGATGTTTTGTCCTGGGCTGTGTCAATCTTCTCGTGTGTAGTTGGAGCTGTACTCATTCAGGCAAGTAGGGAGCATTCTATCACACTCCTGACCTGTGCCTTGTCGATGGTGGACAGGCTTTGGGAAATCAGGAGGTGAATTACTCAGGTGTATTCTTAGCCTCTGACTTGCTCTTGTAACTACTGTATTTATATGGTGAGTCCTGTTGAGTTTCCAGTCACTGGTAACCCCAGGGGGTTGATAGAATGCCAACTCAGCCTGAGATTAGCAGTTAGTTAAGAAAACATAAAACATAGAACAGTACAGCATAGGAACAGGTCCTTTGGCCCACCATGTCTGTGACAACCATGATATTTTAAACCAGTGCCATCTTCCTGCACATCGTCTGAATCTCTCTAATCTTTGCCTGTTTATGTGTCTGTCTAAATGCCTCTTACACTTTGCTAACATTTCCGCTTCTGTCACCTTCCCTGGCAACGTTTCAGGCACCTACCGGCCTGTATGTACAAAGAAATCTTTCCTCCCATACCTCCTTTAAATTTTCCCCCTCTTATCTTAAACCTTTGCCCCTGATGACACTGAGCTTCATGTTATCTGTCACTTCAACACACTAGCGTGTTCCCTGGCTAACATCTGTATGTCAGGCTTACTGCAGTGCTCCAATAAAGCTGGAGGAACAGCATCTCATTTTCTGCTTGGGGACCCAGTGGCCTTTGGGACTCAATATCAAATTTTAGGGCCTGAGCACCTTCTCCCATATCTTACTCCAACTCCCACACACCAGACCTTGTCATCGTATAGACTGCTACCACAAACAACCCATTGTCAACTGCTAATGGCCCCTTGTTCTCCCACTCTGGGTCATTTTCTCCCACCTCATCTTCAGGATGTATACAGCCTTTTCCTAACTACAATCAGTTCTGAAGAAGGGTCACTGGACCTGAAATGTTAACTCTGCTTTCTCTCCAGAGATGCTGCCAGACCTGCTGAGTTTTTCAAGCACGTTTTGTTTTTGCAGTTCTTTGGGGTTTTTTTTTAAGTTAGTTTCATGTTGATTGAAAAATGCAAACTCATTTCTTATTGGGTCCTTCAACCTTGCAGATAGAGAAGCCTTTCACCTCAGCAGTCAGGTCAAACTTGAACAGTTACAGAGGTGAAAGCCTAGTGACCATAAACAACTGCACCAACAAGACTCCTTCACTGATTGATTGATTGTATTTTAAGGACAAGGTGTTAGTAGATCAGCTTTCTGAGTAAAGGTAAACAATTTCAAAATTGCAGATTGCATTTTACCGGGCCCAGAAGGCGGGCCAGGAGGCACGAGGATTCACGGAGCTGGGTCAGATTGACTCCCCAGTGTGTCTTGTCACTGTTGAGGCATTTTACAGATGGCAGACTGGAAGTGGACAGGCTGTCACCCCAAGAGAATGGGTTGTATGCAAGGAAGAAAGGCAGCACCAGTGACGCCCACTGAGGAGTTTGTTCAGCCCTGAGCCTAGTACTTCTTTTGCCTCCTTAACTGATGAGGCCTCCTGTATTCCTCAGAAAACTCTCTCCCATCGGTGATGCTAAGCTTTCAGAGCTCCGTGATTGAGGGGAAGCATGGGGATCTTGCCTACTTTCCATCTTTAATTGGATGGTGGGCCCACAGGCAGCCAATTATGAAGTTGCCTGAGGTAAAGTTATTACTCCGGCACCTGTGTCCCCACCTGTCTGGTAAAACATTTCTTAACATTACTCGGTTAAAGGAGGCTTCTCCTTCCATGAATTCCTCTGTAGTTTGAAAATAAACTGTTGATCTTGCTGAAATGCATTTATGGAATAGTCAGTACAACTTAACAATCAACGTTTGGCTATTTATTTAAAAAAAGTAATGAGAAAATTAATAGAAAATTGCTTCCTATTGTTTTAATATTCTGTACAGTACTGTTTAGTTTCAAACTCTGCTTTTTCTCCCTCATCCTCTCTTCTGTTTTCCATTGTTCCAATCACATGAAACTAACAGAAACTCCTGAAATCACCCAGCAGGTCAGGCAGCATCTCTTTAGAGTGAAACAATCACAATACTTTGATTCTTGTTGTACTTAATGTATTTAAGAAGAAATGTTCAGAGATTTTGGAACACACCAGATCTTGCTTTCTGCTGTTAATTATGCTTATGTTGTCCTTCGCAGAACCTGATAAGATTGTAGTCATGCGTGGCCAGTGGTTTGTTGATGGTACATGGCAACCTTTGGAAGAAGAAGACAGTAATCTCATTGAAGCTGAACACCTAAAGCGTTTTCGGGGTCAACAGATGCAGGATGCATTTGAACTGGATGTAGCTAAACCCATGGATAGCAAAGATGGTAAGACAAGTAAAGCCTATAATCCCAACTGCGGTTTCACAATACACTCTTTCTGAAATAAAGGCTGGCATTTTTCAGCCTTGTTTTCTACTTGAATAGACAGTAGCTATTCATTATGTATGCTATGAAATGAGAAATATTATATTTGAGAACTACAACTCTGACCTTTGAATGTACAATGAAGCTGAAGGTTGACATGTTTCATGTAAGGCATTAAAGGCATTGCAAGGCCATGATTGTGACAGTTAATGGGATCTGGGCATCACTGGCAAGACCAAAACTTAATTATTAATCTCAAATTAACCCTGAAAAAGACAGTGGACAGCCCTTGAACTGTTGTAGTTGATTTGGGAAAAATGCTCCCACGGTGTTCAGAATTTTGACCCATTGAAACTAAATTACTCTTAATTCATTGTCAGTCAGGTTGGTGTGTGGCTTAGAAGGAAAATTGAAGAGTGTGGTTTTCCAAGGCTGTCTGGAAACTGGTAACAGGAATGAAACAGGACTACTTTATTTTAGTCATATTTTCAATAAACTAATATAGATAAAATAAGATTTTTTTTCACCTATACTTTAGTAACTATCCAGAAAAACATCTTTTGAGATCAACAAAGAAGTTACAACTTGTATTCCCTAACTTTGCATCCAATTTTATTCTTACTTCTTTCCCATCTAACCAGATGGGTCAAGGATTCACATACTCACAGCCATCTTTGTCAGTGCTTAGCCAATAAATTAACTGGCCTTATTTAATTCAGTCAGAGATAGTAAGAACTGCCATTGCTGGAGTCAGAGATAACAGTGTGGAGCTGGAGGAACACAGCAGACCAGGCAGCATCAGAGGAGCAGGAAAGCTGACATTTTGATGTCAGCTTTCCTACTCCTCTAATGCTGCCTGGCCTGGCCTGTGTTCCTCCAGCTCCACACTGTGTTATCTTATTTAATTCAGCTTAACCTTTATTTAAGAAACCTTTAAAGTTAAACTAACACAAAGCTACAGTAATATTGGAAAACTGTAGAAGTTTGCAAGCTCAGAACAGAATTCTAAAACTGTACAACTGATGAAAATGAGATGAAGATCTTAAACTTACAGAATAAGCAAAAACACACTATTGATTTACTAGAATCTCATCATAATCACTCCAAGTGTAAAGGAATATTATTGCAAATAATTATGATCCTTTTATGAGTTGGTTTTGGAATTTGGTTTTGCTGCAGATATCTTCTCTAGTTCAGTGATGTTATTTATTCCGTAAGTAATCTGATTGCCTGCTTCTCATAGACGTTTGACTCCCACTGCTCCACACCTACTAGTGTGGTAACAGCACCTGGGACTGTAACAATCAAGCTCCTTCATTCTGGACTGGGTCTACCTCACTTATGCATGCACATTCCTCCAATTTCTCTAAATGCGGACTGAATTAACACTAAATATGATGTTGGCTTATTTTGCATGCAGCTTTATGTTTTTGGTAGACAGAACCTAGAAAGAAAATGCTGGAAATACTCATGTTGGGTGGCATCTGTAGAGTGAATGACAATTTGTTTGAAATTGATGCTATTCGGCTTCTGATAAAGGTACTTCAGCTCCATACTACATTTTTTAAAAATTGCAAAAAACAATCAATTAGTTTTTAAATTCAGTAAGTTTTAATTGAATTGCATTCAAACATTGGATCCTTTTGGAAATGACTCGTCAAACTATATCAACTTGATCTATATTCACATCTATTAAGAAATGATGCAGCAACACCTTACATTTGTTTTTGGCTTTTCTATAAATTGGGAAACTTTTTTTTGGATTATTTCTGTGAGCTGGAACATTATGAATCAAATCGATTGTGCAAAGGACTAAATGTTCATGCCTTGTTTAAATCCTAAACATCAACTCAAAGTTCTTCATGTAATTTGGTGAATTTTTTTTCTTGTTTTCTACAAATGTCAGGCAGTATTTTCTTATGCAGGTTGGGTGCCTTTTTTTAATCATTAACGTCTACATTATCTTAAATATCTTTTCTCAAAAGCAATTTCTTATTGGACTTTGAGTATGTATTTAGAAAATTGGCAAGAAGGGAAGTCTTTTTCAACTTTGTGTATATCAATAACACTTCTCACCCACTAAAATGCTGGTTTTGAGATTGTCACAAATGCGAATGCTTAGGTTCTGTGTTGCTTTAATTTTTAGTATTTTTTAAACTGAAGCACTTGTCTGAATGCAAAAAATTTCAAAACTCCTTTCATCAAAAAGTTCAATCAAGTTAATCCAACACTTTGCTTTTAACAAATGAAATTTTGCTCTCTTAAACCACATTTGTCCTCTTGCTGTTTTCAATACCATGATTAAACTGTTTGGTCTGTAGTTACTGGTTTTTGTCCTTGCACATTTTTTTAAAAATGTGATGAACATTGGAAGATTGTGGCCAGTATCTCCACAAATTTGATCTTTACTTCCATAGCATCTTTAGAGCATTCCATCCAATGCTGGTCACTAAGTAGAACCAGCTTTTCTAATACCCCTTCTCTATCAATTTTCTCCTCTTTGACTATGCCAATGTCAGCATCTCCTTCCCTTTGATAAAGTCAAATGCAATGTGCTCATTTATTACCTCAGCAATCCCCTCTCTCCCCATGCATAGTTTCCAGGTTGGGTTCCTAACCAGCCCACCATGGGTCTTACTACACGTATACTATTTAGATGCTCGTATCATCTTTTGGATTGCCTTTTTAATGTTATCTGCCAATCTCTTTTCATATCTTTGCCTTTCAAATGCGTGATAATTAAGCTTACTCTGGTCATTGCATGGATATGTTTGGCATCTGCACATTGTGAAACTTCTGCTATTAAAGATAGAAAAATTTCTCTTCTTGTACATTTAAATATACCGCCACGTAGGCAGACCCTTTTAAAAATTGTTATGCTATACATATGAAGCATAGTAAGGATTATGTAGGAGCCCTACACAAATCAATAGAAATGCTTTAATATAAAATGGACACAGCATGAATCAGCTTTGTGAAAATTGTCAACAAAGGAACATAGAAGATAGGAGCAGGAGGAGACCATTCGACCATATGCATGATAATTGGTGAAATTGTGCTGTAAAAATGCTTCATTTGTTTCGTCTAGCTGTTTGCACGCACATTGCCTGCCTATACCATCAACTATATTTTAAAGATAGAAGGGAGATTTTTCCATAATTAGAAACTTAAGATAACCTCATACTCACAATTTGCAACTTTTTTGATGTTAAAGTCTCAAAAACTTGAAGATAAAAGTAGTTTCAAATGATCAGCACAGCAATAAGCTTAACTTGTTGAAGGATGCTTGAATTTAAGATTTTAATAGCTTGATTTTCCAGTTCTGCTGCTAATGTGCAATGTTTGAAATTCTGCATGTTACAGTTTTTATCACTGGCAGCTAGGAAGTATGTTAATGCTGTTTGTTTTAAATATTTTCTGGATAATTGTGCATGATTTGATGTGTATCATCAATTTAGTTTAATAAATTTGCATAGAATTTTGGATGTCAACAAAATGTATTACAAAGTAAGGTTTGGATGTAGGAGTGGAAGGGTGGATTAGTAAGTTCGCTGACAATATGAAGGTGGGTCAAGTTGTGAATAGTGCGGAGGGCTGTTCTAGGTTACAAAGGGACATTGATAGGATGCAGAGCTGGGCTGAGAAGTGGCAGATGGAGTTTAACCCTGAAAAGTGTGAGATAATTCATTTTGGAAGGACAAACTTGAAAGCAGAATACAGGGTTAACGGAAAGATTCTTGGCAGTGTGGAGGAGCAGAGGGATCTTGGGGTTCATGTCCACAGTTCCCTGAAAGCTGCCACCCAGGTGGATAGAGTTGTTAAGAAGACGTATGATGTGTAAGCTTTCATTAATAGAGGGATTGAGTTGAAGAGCCGTGAAGTCATGCTCCAGCTATACAAAACCCTGGTTAGGCCACATCTGGAGTATTGTGTCCAGTTGTGGTCGCCTCATTACAGGAAAGATGTGGAAGCATTGGAAAAGGTGCAGAGGAGATTTACCAGGATGTTGCCTGGAATGGAGGGAAGATCTTATGAGGAAAGATTGAGAGAGCTAGGGTTTTTCTCTTTAGAACAACAAAGGATGAGAGGTGACTTGATAGAGGTGTACAAAATAATCAGGGGTATAGATAGAGTGGACAGCCAGAGACTTTTTCCTAGGGTGGAGGTAGCTATTACAAGGGGGCATAGTTTTAAAGTGAGTGGAGGTAGATATCGGGGAGACGTCAGAGGTAGGTTCTTTACTCAGAGAGTGGTCGGGGCGTGAAATGCATTACTGGAGAGGGTAGTGGAGTCGGCCTCGTTTAGGGGCATTTAAGCGGCAATTAGATAGGCATATGGATGACAGTATAAGGTAGGGGTGGACGTTAGATAGACCTTAGGTTTAGGGTAAAAGTTTGGCACAACATTGTGGGCTGAAGGGCCTGTACTGTGCTGTACTGTTCTATATTCTAAAGTAAAATGTTAATTTGGTTATGATCATTGCAGTCGAGAAGCATGCTACTTGTCTACCCTTTGCTTTCCTTATGTAAATGAGTACATTTAGTTTTGGTAGACCTACTCAGTTTGAGTTTGATTTATTGTTGTCACATGTACTGAGATACAGTGAAAAGTGTTGTTTTGCATGCTATACAAGCAGATCATGCCATATAAAGTGCATCAGGGTAACAGAACAAGTGCTGAATACAGTGTTACAGCCACAAGAGTAGGGGCAGAGAGAGAGATTAGAATTGTCATTTGAGAGGTCCGTTCTAAAGCCTGATAACAGCGGGAAAGAGGCTGTTCTCAAATCTGTTTGTACGTGTATTCAAACTTTTACATCTCTTACCCGACGGAAGAGGGTGGAAGAGAGTGTAACCGGGGTGGGAGAGGTCATTGATCAAACTGGTTGCTTTCCCAAGTCAGCAGGAAGTACGGATGGAGTCAATGATGGAAGGCTGCTTTGCGTGATGGACTGGGCAGTGCACGTGACTCTGTGTAGTTTCTTGTGGTCTTCGGAAGAGCAGTTGCCATACCACGCTGTGATGCATCCAGGTAGGATGCTTTCTATGGTGCACCTACGAAAATTGGTAAGAGTCCATAAGCCCATAAGACATAGGAGCAGAAATTAAGCCATTCGGCCCATTGAGTCTGCTCCGCCATTCAATCATGGCTGATAAGTTCCTCAACCTCATTCTCCTCTTTCTCCCTGTAACCCTTGATCCCCTTGTTAATCAAGAACCTATCTATCTCAGTCTTAAATGTACTCAATGACCTGGCCTCCACAGCCTTCTGTGGCAGTGAATTCTATAGATTCACCACTGTCTGGCTGAAGAAGTTTCTCCTTATCTCCGTTCTAAAAGGTCTTCCCTTTACTCTAAAGCTGTGTTGAAATTGAAGGAAAGTGATGAGCATTTTGTCCTCATTGATAACCTGAAATAAAGTAATCTAACCGAATAGGTTAGTACTTTTTGTAAAGCATTTGAATTTTATTCAATCGTTCTGGTTTTGAGTAGACAAGCTGTTGAATTACCTCTCTTTTCAGAATTTGAAATGGAGGTGAATGATGTGGTTTTTTAAAATTTGAGCCATTGCTGTGCTGATTATTCTGATTTCTGGCTGCAGTTTGTTGTAAAAAGCTGAGACTAATGGAATTCTGACACTAACAATCATGTAACTTCTCAAAAAAATTGTTTGGACAGTTGCTGGTGACCTGGAAGTTGCATAATTAAAATCTTAATGTGATGAGATTAGTATGCCTTTACAATAGATGTTAAAAAGTCAGATATCATAGATTATGAAGTAGATTTCAAATTGTGTCCCTTCTCATTTGTAGGCAAGATATAATTTGTATTTAATTTTCAAATGACTTGCTTTGAAATAAATCAGGAACACTGCACAGATTCACCAATATGGTGAAAGTAGAACTTTTTAATTATCAGAAAACTTAGAATATATTTTGATTTTGAGACCTTATTATGAGGATCATTTGAGTGATCAGAAAATCCATGAAGCTCACTTTTATTACTTTGTTAGTCTTCTACCAATTCCCTCCCTTCTACCTTCCCTTTCTGTTCAAGTGGAGACAGTATAAGGAAAGTACTGACACTGCATGTAACAAAAGAAAGTATTGCCAAGGTATAGTATGGATTGCTCTGTAACAGCTTTGCCATTGATTAGAAGAGCTTTTCAAGTAGCATTTACTCTCCCATCCTGAATCTGCAGTGTTACCCAAATTGATTGTTCTCGAATTTGAATTATTTCCCCACCCTTCCATTAGAAGTGTCCATAGAAAACCTGCTGTATAAAATCATTATTTTATGTCCTTTGTTTGTAACCTGTAGGGAGTTGTTGCTGCCAACTAGATTAATGCATGCTGTTTGGCTTTTAGTGCATGTTTAAATTGGTTATCTGGTAGCAAGGTCAAACAGTATTGTAGAATTAGCAAGTGAATTACTTAAATTAAGAGTTGCACATTATGAACTATTCATCCAGGAGTGTTTATAATGTTACTGATGCTATTAAGTTGGAATTCATTTGTAGCTCGTTTTGTAAACTGACTGAACAGAGAGACATTTTATGCTATCATTAAGGCTTTGACAGTTAGCTCCATTATGTACTGAAACACACTTCCTTTGCACAAGTTGTCATCAGTAACTTGGGATTTTCAACGTATTCATTACTTGTCTGTAAATTACAGTGCTATATTGCAAAAGACTTTTGCTGCTTCAGTCTTAGTTGGTTGATCCCATACCACCTTCAACTATATCCACAATCTGAGTTTTGTTACGGTTAGTTATGTGGCCCTGATGGTATGTTTTTCAAATTGTTCTTGTTCTTGATCTATCAACTGACTTTGCTCCCATCAGCCACGGAACTGCTGAAGAACAAAGCAATTTTATTGTGCAAGAAACCTGGAAGAACTTAACAGTTCATGTAGTGCTCCTTCTAGTCTACTTTAATTATTAATAAACTTCTAGATTCGAGTTGTCATTTAATCACTGCATGCATTTTGAACACCTTTCTCAGTATTAGAAGCTCAGTATTCTGCATGTTACCTTTGTAGAAAGCAGACAAATCTGTGTTCTGTGTTTCATTAACATGTGAAATGTGTTTATTGGCCACAGCTATACATAGTTTAAAGCTCAGACGCAACCATGTGGACTGGTACAGTGTGGATGAGGTTTACCTGTACAGTGACGCTACCACATCCAAAATTGCCAGAACAGTTACCCAGAAATTGGGATTTTCTAAAGGTACAGTTTTCAAAAACATTTTGCTTCACTGTTAGCTTTAAGTTTCATGTTCTGAATTTTTTGAGCACCTTTAAATAAGTTGATCATGCTGACATACGTTAATTTCATTACTAAAAATATCTTTAAAGGCACATGTTGTTGAACATGTTTTTAGCCTTTGAAATGTACGTTACTTTGACTTTGGGAAAATAATTAAATTTTGAAATGTGTCTATTTCACAATACCTAGTTCACAGTCAATATACTTACCATGTGTCGTACTCAGAAACTTGAGTCAAACAGTACCAGTAAAATTAGTACAATAACATTTAACTTCTGGTATAATTTTTCTACTGATGCGATATCATTTTGCAAATGTAAGTTATAAAGCTAAAAGCTGGCTGCATTCATCAATTTGGCTGTTTCTAACTTAAGACATCCAGTTGGTAGTGGATTACTGTACCTGCAACCTCATTCCAAACTCTCTTCCTGCATACCTCTTGTGCAGTGTAGTGTCCTTACCCCTGGACTGGGACTCCTGGGTTCAAGTCCCACCTTCTCCAGAGGTGTGCAATAACATCTGTGAGCAGGTTGATTTAGAAAAATAGGTTAAATTTTAAAAAATTTAAATGATTGGTCCATCCAGAAAAGAATGGGTTTTTTGATGGACTATTATATATGACATTGTAACAGATCAATGTGGCACTGATAGAGACATTAGAGTAATGCACCTGTTGATCTCTTCTGATGAATGTACTGGAAAAATGAGGCAAAGCAGCTTAGAAAAAGATGTTTTTTTTTTAATCCCTTCTCAATCTGAATTGGCTGTTTCATAATTAACAAGTTATTAGAAATCCCAGTGGATTCTGGTGAGATTCAGTCTCCTTCTGACTAGCGTGATTTCACTGAAGTTCAGTCGCATGAACGTCAAAAGCACATTGTTGGAAAGGCATTGCTGTAACATCTTGAAGTGCATAACCGAGGAAATGCATTGTCGACTCTCATGAAGGCACACCTATTATCTAGTTTTCCAGTGAAATCATAAGGTTTTCTACTGCTATAGACAACATTGGGAAAATGTGGAAGGGAATAAATTTTAGAAATTAAAAAGAGCAGGAGTTTTTAAAATGTGTTTTACTGAATCGATCTTTTTCAAAAGTATGCCTAATTTGACAGATTTGAGAGTAACTTTACCACTTAAAATTTTGACATACAGCTACCATACAGCTTTGTTGCTTGCAAAATGTAACTACTTTAAGATGTACACGCCAAATTTCTCAATGTTGCAACTATGCATACATCTGTGTATGCACAAATAATGTCTTTCTTTTTGTCAATGCAGCATCAAGTAGTGGAACTAGACTTCATAGAGGATATGTAGAAGAGTCTTCACTTGAAGACAAACCTCCACTCCCTACTCACATTGTCTTTGTTGTACATGGAATCGGACAGAAAATGGACCAAGGTCGAATTATCAAAAATACAGGCATGTAAGTACCTGTTCATCACTGCATAAACATTTACTGATTAACTGAAATGAAATATTCAGTGGGATGTTTGTAGTAATAAACAGCTTGTTATTGATAAATGGGCATTGATTTCACCAGACAACAAGGTGCAGGGCTGGATGAACACAGCAGGCCAAGCAGCATCATAGGAGCAGAGAGGCTGACGTTTCGGGCCTAGACCCTTCATCAGAAAAGGGGGAGGGGAAGGGGGTTTTGAAATAAATAGGGAGAGAGTGGGAGGCGGATAGAAGAGGGATAGAGGAGAGGATAGGTGGAGAGGAAACAAACAGGTCGAAGAGGCGGGGATGGGGCCAGGAAAGGTGAGTGTAGGTAGGGAGTTAGGAAGGGGATAGGTCAGTCCAGGGAGGACGGACAGGTCAAGGGGG